TCTCTATGACCACAACTAGGAAGATGTGAAGCATCATATACCTATTTTCTTGCTTTCACTAGGCACCCTTTCATTCCGCTGCCGATCATCGTTATAATACCTCACATCTATTCATCCAAGTTTACATACAACGAAACACCTTCTACTATCAAATTCTTCGATCCCAAAGTCATTTATCCCACCATTATGATCTATATATAGTGTTGAAATTATTTTTTATATTTGCTCTACTTTCTTGCTGATAAAGCATCTAAGATTATCCATTCCACAAACCTGCCTTTCAGTTCTGTCAATCAATGCCGATTGCTATCAGGTACCTTTTTTTTTTTTTTCATTAATTACATTCTCAATTTACTACTGGGGAATATAACAGTATCTAACCCGAATCTTTTTTTAGGGTTTTCACGGCCACCGCACTTAGTTGCTTGATGGGCAGCACAAACTATCTCGTAAAAATTCTCGATATAATAAACTTGTATTCCCAGGTTATCCTTATCTTGTTTTAGCAGATATAGTTCCTCTGTTGCACTAATATGATGAACTTTAAAAGTATTAACCGCCAATATTTGAACTTTGCATTACACTGAAGGTTTGGATTTCTTAGTACATTTAAACATTCCTTATGGCGACTTCTATCCAACAAGCTTCGCTTGTTTTTTCTTTTGTTAATGAATGTCTCTAATAATCGGTTAGAGGTTTCACGAGTTATAAAGTTATATTCTTGCGAATCTTTCACCTTTTGTCTCCACTTCCTTGTTGATGATAGCATCTAACCTTAACCATTCTACAGACCTGTCTTTCATTCTATTTCAATTCCGTTAATCAAAACCAATTGCTACCATAGAATTTTGACTTCACTGATCACTTTGACTCTAACTGCTCTGTACCATGAAAGATCACCTTAACACCTATATTGATAACCATGTAAGTTTAATTTCAAGCCTACTCGAGTCAAGACAATAAACTCATTGACATAATGATAGAAACTGATTTTAGTTATAATCAGTACTTTTCAAATCAATTTTTTTTCTTTATGATTTAAAAAAGTCTTGCTTATTTAGAAGATTTATTTAAAAGGTTCGTCTATTCCAGGTATTGTTTATTACTAAGAATGTTCCAAAATCAAGAACTGCGATAATTTGTTATACAGGTATTTTTTGCACGAAAA